GCAAAGTGCTTGAAAAATGTAAATAGCTTGTTACAAAGTTAAATAAAAATATTACCTTGGTCTAGTGAAACAAATGCGGGTTCATAGAATTTAGCATAATTCCCAAAATAAATATTAGCTTCAAAAGGTAAAAATCAAAGCAAACATCCAACATGTAAGTGCCCTTTGTTCAACTGTTAAGGATTTTTTTAAACATTTCAGACCCAAAACAATAAACAAAGCTACAAAAATATTTCCTGACCTGAGGCTTGTAAACTTAGCAGCTTAACTAATCAGTCACAAATTTTTAGCAAGGAAAACCAGGTGATTGACTTTCTCTGGCTTGAGAGTTGCCCTTTGACAGGTGACAATGTTGCCACCAGTACTGAAGGCTCTTTCTGAGGGAGCACTTGTTGCTGGAATGCATAAATACTTTCTAGCAAGTTGGCTAACTCTTGGAAAGTTTGCCTCATGGACTTTCCACCATTGCAATGGATCCATATCACTTTCTGCATTTGGTGTGGACAAGTAGCCCTTCAGTTCCCCTTCTATTGCTTCTTTTAGAGATGGGGAAGCTGATGATGTGGCTGCTGCAGATGCACTTACAACAGCTGAGGCTTTCAAAAAGCTGGCAAGTGATCTCTTTGCTTTCTTGGGTGGTGTCTGATCTTCATCAGGGCTGTGTGATGTGGAGGTTGAGGTAGGCTGCTGATTTGATGATGCTGGATTCAGCAAATTCTCCAGCTCAGACACAGCTCTGCTTTGTATTCCCTCAATGTTGTCTTTGTCTGTGTACTGCATTTTGAACCTGGGATCGACAAGTGAAGCCATATCCAGCACGTCATTGGTGGCGGGGTCCTGATATTTGTCAGTGAGGTATTCCAGAATGGTAGTCTTCATTGTTTTTGTTAGTTCAGTATCCTCATCATTCAGGCTCAAAATGTTGACTTTCAACAGGTGAAGCACTGGCTTACATAAGATACACTCACATAGTCTTCACCTGAGAGTGCATCAGTAAAGTCTCTCAGTGGGCTCAGAGCCTTTTTCACAGACTCCATTACGTCAACATCCTGCCATGATGGGACTAAATGCCTCATCTTCCTGTCTGCCTTCAGGACCTGAGAAATCGCCTTTTCCTGGTCAAGTACTCTTTCGATCATGTTGAGTCTCGAACCCCATCGTGTTGGAGACTCAGTGACGAGCTTCTGCTGAGGTAGCTTTAGGTCAGTTTGAGCTTTACTTAAATCCCTCTTTTTCTTCCAGCTGAACGAGAATGTACTGACGACTTTCTTGCAGACAGATGTTACACATTCAACACGAGGGTCTTTGGAACTTTTTTCTAATTAAAAAGAATTAAGTATTATATGAGATTTAATCTAATACACAATGTAAAGTTTAATTTACAAATATTTATATTTTTTATTGAAGCCATTTAGGTGTTTAACTAAAACGTTAACAATGTAACAAAAAGTAAAACAAAATAATTACATATACTGCAAATATTATTGCAAACAAATCTCCTAATTTTACTGTTCATGGTAAATGTTCAATGTAATTTTTAATTACAGAGACAATGTATTTTTAGTTGCACTCACCGATAGCTAGGTGAAGTCTGTGCCCAAAGCATTGCAGACGAGTCCAGCTGTTAAGCTCCAACGCTTTAACCATATTGGCCCCGCTATCTGTCGTCATGCAGGTCATGTTTTCTTCTTTCAGTCCCCAACCTTCAAGC